AGAACAGAAACTAGAAATTACAGTATTTTAAAATAATACAGCCGCTGATATTAATTACTTCCTATTGTTTGTTGCTGTTGGAAGATATAGTGATGTTTTTCCCAGCATTTGGTTACTATGATAGGAACTTAGGAGCCGTAAAGCCTAAACTTAAACTTGCACGTACTAAATTCTTCGAAAATGCCCCTGAATTTCGCAAAAATGGCAAAAATACGAGAATCATAATACAGGACCCCCGTAAAAAACTTTTTCACTTAAACATAATAGAAGACCCTGGGTCTCTTATTGGGAGGGGGAGTTTAGCTTGTTTCTCTTCACGTTCAAAATCACAAAAACATAGATGGACATAAATGTAATAAAAATCGATCAGAATCTTTCAGACTTTAGACATAGATCGCAGCTGTATCCTGTTTTCTTCGTCTCTCACACTGCCAATCAAGCGAGCGTAGACAATTGCCCATTTAATTCGAATATGGTGTTCAAACAACCCTACTTTGATACTGAAACCTACACCATTATAGCCGAACTCAGAAGAAATGTCAAATTTGAGTATATTTTGAACCTCTCACCGCCCTATACCTCTTTTCTGATTTTGCGCAACTACAAATCGATAGAACTTGAAAAGCAAGATGTATACTTCGAGTTTGACGCCTAAGGAAGACTGGTTTCGTGCTAAACATCAAACATATATAGGCAAATCTAGTGGAAAAAGGCGAATTTTGTTAGAATTTAGAGTTTTTGGCTCTATTGTACATATTTTCAATTATTTTTGCGGTTATCAATGGTGAGAGCTTGAAAAACTACCCTAATGGTCCAAATTTCATGTTACGATAACAGTGGCTTCCCAAAAAGTTATCGGAAGAAAATTCTATGTATTTAAAAAAGTCCATTTCTGCACCGGAATGACCATTTTTTTTCCAAAAGTTACGTTTTTTCTTCTGCGTAACAAGCTCAGATTCCTAGATAACTCAAAATTTTGGATAAGAAAGATGTTTCTGGATAAATTTGAGTGAATAAATATTGTATAACGGCCCCAATAATGAAGGATACAGTGCATAGAGTGGTTATGACTATTTCAGAGATAAAAAGATTTTGAGATCTCTCATTATGATATTCTTAATCAGCACGTCTCAATCTACTACTACATCTGATTTTGACTCGTGAAAAAAAAAAATTTTTTTTTCATGATATCTGAGGGGGACCCCAGGCACAAAAATCTTGACTATCGATTTTCGAGGAACAAAGTTGAAAAAAGTGATCAGGTACACTCGTACTTTCTTTGAGTCAAAAAACGCTCACGCTCATGAGCGCTCATGAGCGTGAGCGGTACAGCTCTACTAAGAATTCTTCAATTGTTGTTGTTTGAATTTGTAGAACAGGCTCATTTAAGGTCGTTTCGTAATCAACTTCACCTTGAGCGAAGTGAACCATTGCTTCATGACAGGAATTCTTTTATAATACTAATCGGATTTAGATTTCGTATGGAAAGCATCTCTTCCACCGTTAATCGTTCCACCTCAAAAGTTTGTCCATGTAATTTTTCTCCCAGACGAATAATTTCGTTTAAACGTGTACGAGAACGAATCATGTCCGAATACAGTCCCCATTTATCAAGGTCAAGCTATGCAACAACAAATCTGGCTACAACTGCTAATAGAGTTGCATTCACTAATTCATCATGTATAACGGCGAACCATGCAGCACATTTATTGATAAACATTACTGATTTTTAAGGGTGTGGGGTGTGGGTGTGCGTGAAGAGAAGAACCACACCCACACCCCACACCCCACACCCACATCCACATCCACACCGACACCCACACCCACACCCACCCGCACCCGCACCCACACCCACACTCACACCCACACCCACACCCACACCCACACCCACACCCACACCCATCCACACCCATCCACACCCACACCCTTCTTAAGATGGAAAATCGTACCATTTCCAAAAGAAAACCGGTACTCCCTATAGTTTTCATAGGAAATCGTTCTCCTATTGCCTTAGTGTTTCAAAAACATAACAATCACGTAACATAGTTAGCTTAACTCTTACTGAAACAATTACACAAAATGCGAAATAACAAAACAAAAACGCTGAAACATTGTGATGATTTCGAACTCGTCGACAGGCAATCATAAAATCAACATATATTTCGTCCTAGAAGGTCGAGTGTCAGCAGAAATCATCAAATCTAAGTGGACATTGTTGAGATATCATGACGATGTCCTCTGAAATAGACTAGAATAATCCGAAGTTGGCTCACTTGCCTGGGCTTTTAGGATTGATTTATGATCACTTTCTTGGATTTTGGACCTATGACGTCAGGTTATCTGCAACAGTAAATATGCGGATTTCGACTTGAAATTTTGTCTATAAATAAATACAATGGCCACTTAGATACTTTAAAAGTTTCAGACAAAACGAATACATCCTTCTTAAGATGTTAAATATTCAAATATTCCGATTTTTGTGAATTTTTTGTGAGAAATAGACGGTTTTTTGAAAATTAAATATCTCAAGGATGCATTCGTTTTGTCTAAACGTTTTTCAGATATTCTATTGGCCATTAGATTTATTTATAGACAAAATTTCAGGTCGAAATCTGCATATTTGCTGTTGCAGATAACCTGGCGTCATAAGTCCAGATTCTGTAATAAATCAACTTAAGGTTATTCCAGTCCAGAGGCCCCAACATATAGCCAAAATATCAGGTCAAGAGTAAGGAGACACCTTGAGAAGTTCCTTTGTGAGATTCGTTGACAGCAATCCAAAGATGAAAGTTGATGATTCATCGAACTCTCGACTTCCAGATCTACTAACTAACTTGTGTCTGTCTATTCTTTTTTTCTTACTGAATAATGACACAAGATTTTATAGAAATCTTGTAAAAAAAAAAAAGATGAACTTTTTCATATATTCACCGACATTTCTCAATTCATAAAGAACTTTATCTATTCTTCAAACAAGATGAACAACGCGATCATTGAAAAAAAAGCCAGTATCTTCATCAGTTTAAAACAAAATTTCTGAAACTTCTCCACTGAGACTAAACCGAAATTTTGTCGAGAAATTACTTAATTTCGTAAAAGCATCAAAATTCAGGATAGATGAAAGTCAATAAGTGATTCGATAGAATAGCAAGTAGTATCATCAAAACTAAATTTCTAAGTTTTTCAATAATATCATATTGAGTTGTGAATTTTGCTCAATTGATGATGTGATACTTGATCAATTCTGTTGTCATATATTATCTCAAATATATCATAACTTGAAAGTATTTATTGTTGAATAATTCTGTATGGAACGTATTCTTCTCACTTACAAATATCCTAATCTCGGTATGATCTGTATTACAAACTATCAACCGATCATTACTTTTTAATATTTCAGTGTTGCACAATGTGAATGTTTTTTTAGAACGATCGTTGTTTGTTCACTTATTTAGAGAATAGATCATAGACATTACTATTATGAATAGAAAGAAAAAAAGAATCGTCGAATGAATTATTTATAGATGGATGTGCATTTATTTTTGCTTTATATATGCAAAGTTCACTTTGTTTGATATAAATCGATTTATTAATTGTGAACAAGTATAACTCTTACTTTATGAACGACCTAAAGTACTTGTTTTTATTGCATAATTGCGATCTTTACTAGTTAATATAGCAACTTTTGACGATTGCTTTTGTTTAGTTGATGTTCATCTCAATCAATTATCATTATTGACTGTAAATATTAGTTGGATCGAAATAACATCTACAATTATTGACGAATTGGTAAGAAAATTTAATTTAAACTTCATTATCTATAGTTAAAATTGTGAATACATTAATGATGAAATAGTTATTTTTTTTTTGCTGCAGAATGTTTTTGTCCAAATTTAATAGAATTTTCGTTAATCATTTATTCACTTACAAATGCTTATAATGATTATGTCCTAGATGAACAAGTTCTTAGTCATATGTCAAAATTAAATCAATTTACATTTCATATTTGTACAGTTATTTTCATTTTCAATACAAATAAATTGTTGCTACGTCGATTATTTCTTAATTCGTTTTGTTATTGCTATATTTAGTCTATATTAGTCAAAATAGCTCATTTGTTGTATGTTATTAATAGTTTTTTTATGGTCGTCATTTTCAATTTACTATCGATTTGACATATTACTCTACATGTTCATTTGAACATAATTTCTTTAAATAGGTAACTCGACCATTACCATTACATAAATATTTGATGGTACAAGAAAATAAATATCAAATTAAAATAATAAGTAATAAATAAATCTTTTCAATTATTAATTATTCACTTATTGATTTTGTATACTAAATAAATAAATAGTAAATGTATTTGTTTACTAGAACTTCGCGTGAGACAAAACTTCTTTTCAAGAAAATTCTATAAGAGAATGACTGAATTTTTTGGTTCAAACTATAGTTTTTGAAGTAAATCGTTTCTTTGAATAGTTTCATTTTTTTTTGATAATTTTTTGCATATATCAATCGACATTCCCAAAAAGAGTTTTCAAAAAAAAAAAACAAACTGCTGAAACAAATTACATATGTCAAAAACAAAACAAGCTAATCCTCTCATAGAATCTCGTCGAAAATTCTTTTTATATTAATTTGAAGTAAAAATTTTTGAAGAGAATAAATATTAAAATAAAATAGTTGATGTAAATATATGAAAAAAAAAATACTGAAATAATCTAAAGAAATTGATTTTAATGAAAAACAATAAATATAGTTCAAATATTCGTCAAATTTCTCATTAGAAAAAGTCGTTTCTAATGAAATAATGTCTAATAAGCATTTTTCTTCTTTTTTTTGTTAACAGAATAATTTTCTCTGGTTTTTTTTTCTCTTTTATCAATGAAGAGAAAATTTTTTTTTGTTTTTCCTTCTTTCTTTCCTTATATTTATTCGAGTAAATCAATGGAAAAAAAAACAACCTAGAATGTCAATATCATATTTTAGATAAATAAATGGCTCAACTACAAGTAAATGTGATTGAAGGAAAAAATTTAAAACAAAAAGATAGATTTAGTGGAAATGATGCTTTTATTGAAATCTATCTTGATAATATTCATCAAAAACAAAAAACAAAAGTCAAACAAAATTCAAATAATCCAATATGGAATGAATCATTTGTTTTGTAAATATTTCCTTTTTAATTTATTTAATTTATAAATCTATAAATATATTTTTTTTCTAAGTAATCATTTACAAGATCAACATATTCTTCATATTAATATTTATGATGAAGATACAATTAAAAATGAAAAAATTGGTTCTCTTCAAATTGATTTACATCGTTTATATGATAATGGTTTTTTTAGAGAATAATATTATTGTAAATTTATTTAATAAAATTCTTTTGCTCTTTAGGTCATATTGATGATTGGTTTAATATTGAAGATAAACATGGAATTCAATCTCAAGGACAAATTCATCTTAGTCTTCATTATGAAAAACTCAAAATCTAATTTAAATTTTTTTATTTACTTCTAATCTCAATTTAATTATTATTGTAATTATCAAAAAAATTTATTTTATCTATCAGAAATCATTTTTTAACGAAAGTTCAAATAGACTTTCAAATTAATAATCCAAAATACATTGATATATTTAATTTTGTTTTCATGAAAGATCTTTCTAGTTTATGAATAATTATTTCTCTTGTTTTTATAATTATTTATAATGAATTTTCTTCATATTGCCAATTACAAAAGATCTTCTTAGATAAAAATGAACAAATAAGAATTATTTTCAATTTTTTTTTTCATTTGAAAATAAGAAAAATAAATATTTTTTTTTTTTGAGACCAACGAACTTTTTCATCATGGAAAATAATTCTAAAGAAATTTTAACTTTTATACATAAAAACAAAATGAAAATAAATATTGAAAAATTTTTTTAAAAAGGGTGTGGGTGTGGGTGTAAGTGTTGCTGTCATCTGTACCTTCACCCACACCCACACACTTTTTCTAAAATGATATGCTCTTTGTAAATATATAATCTAATGATGCAAATGTACAGCGTATAATTAAAATATAATTAAATTGAGCAATATTTTTTTTTACATAGTTGCCTATTTAAAATCTCATAGTAATGTTTTGTTAAGATGTGTTTAGAAAAAAAAAGAGTATTAAATTTTTTTATGTTCTAGTTTTATGAGAGAAACAATCTGTCTATGAATTAATTTCGATATTTCTAAGTAAGTTTTACTACCATGTTTGTTCTTGTCAATAATTTTTCTTGTTGTTCATAAAATTAATTACTAGTTTTGACTTCTTTCACGTTATGCATGTATATTCTTTTGTACATTTATGACGATAAACACTGAAATAGCATCTACGAATCTATATATTAGAATGGAATTTTAAGAAAAAAATTCGAGAGAAGTTAAAGCCGAAAAGTAATATTTTGCAAAACACACACTAATACTCTTTTCTGTATAATACGATGTCGCGAATCGAAATCGTTGACAAACGTGTATCATCGGTTTCGGTCGTATCTGAGATAGGACTATTTCATGTTTTGTTCCATTCGAATATATTCTAAGTAACTGATTTACAATAATGAAATCAAATGTATTAATGTTTCAAGATAGATGATAAGTAGCTAATCTGAATTGAGTGAGTACATTCAAACAATGAAGTTCAATATTCTCTGTAAATATTATATTCAAAATCATACAAAAACTGTATCTATCGTTAGTGAACAATTTAGTTATTAAAATTGTTTTTGTCTCAATTAATCTTTCGATCAATCAAAATGAATCATGCATCTTCTATTAAACCAGTTGTTCTTGAGAAAACGTTAGTTGCTGAAAAGTTACATTTTGTTCAATTTAACTAAAGATTTCCAGAAGCATCAAAATATAAATTCATCAAAATCATTTCTTATTTATTTTCATTGATTCTAAAGATCGATCACGTCAGTAATTTTAATATATTATCAACGAACTGTTACTATCCTAAAATCAACCAGTAAATCTGTGGAAAAAACGCTAAAATTTATCTGATATAGAAGATATGTATTCATAATTGTATCTAGTTGTGGACATACATTATAAAATGAACAAAGAATTATGAGATTATCGAGGTAGTCCAAAATCAAATAGATAAGTTCAATGGGTAATATCAACAGAGATGAACGAGTCTGATCAGTCATAAATATTGCGTTCGTTTAAGATAAGCTATTTATATGTCGATAAATCTAAAAATTCAACACTCATTAAGTGTTTAAATATAAACGAAACATTTTCGCTCCTTAAATAAAACATTTGGAGCTCATTCTGATTGATTGATGTGTTTTCGATTTAGAACCTTCAAGTGTTAGCACAGCAAAGTGTCTTACGTCTATCTTTCCTTAAACGCTAAAACTGATCAATGACACTAGTAGTTCCTTGAAGCGATTGCTTTATTTTTGATGAAGTCGTTTTATTTAAAGAGGGCAAACAGAACGTCTCTTGACACTTGACTTTTGGTTAATTTTGACACTGAATATTTTACTCTACAAAACTGTTGATCTTGTTTTCAAATATAACTTTTTTCTGTGTATAAAATGTAGATTGCTGCCAGCTTTTCTACAGTTGACGATAATGATAAAAGAAAGCATAGTTAGCTACAGCATATAAAACTTGATGGATATAAACATACGTTTATCAATAGAAGCCTGCAGAAAAAACGGGAGATCACTATTAAATGCGCGCACAATTGCCAGCCTTCTACATTCGTGCAAATAAGAAAATTCTACTCCAAAAACTACATTTTCTGCATATAATCAACTCAAAACCAGATTTTGAATTTATTTTAAAATATGCCAAAAGCAAACTATGTAAAGCGTTTCTATCTGATCCATTCGTAGTACATTTATGTCTACGCAGGAAATCAGAGATCGAAGGCTGCGTCAAATCATTATAAGTTTTCAGGCATTTTTTCACTTTATTCAGTTCCGCAAAATGCAACCGAATCCCATCATTGTTCGCTCAATGCCACTAATGATGAAGTCATACATTTCCGTTATATTTTCATTTTTACTATTTTTATTAAAATATATTCCTCTCAATTCTAAGAACATCATTATTCATACGTATAAAAGCATAACAATCAAATAAGAAACTTCAATGAAAAAAAAAAAAGCTCGCATTAAGTTAAAAACAACAGCAATTTTAAAAGTACGAATCATAGGCGGCGGAGCCATGAGG